TCTCCCTGCTCTCTTCCCGTTCTTCTTTCTCTTTCTCTTCTACTCTACTGGTGTTGTTCTGGTTCCTCATGTTGCCACCCTTATAAGCCCAGTCTCAGCCCTGCATACATGCCTACCTATGTAGACCCACACCCCACTCCAGGTGCCTGCCATCAGGCATGCATTCAGAACCACAGGATCCATCATTAATGCTAATGGCCAGAGGGCAGAAAAGCCTGATAATCACTTACCCTACAAGCATAAAACCAAGGAATTCAAGGAATATTTTTGAATTTAAAAGATTGTTTATTTGATTTGCACATAATCCAAAATGCCATAATTTCTCTTTTCTTTCTCCTCCCCTTTGTCCTAAGATAAATTAAGAATAAACATGGCATTTTCTTGCTTTCTTGATTTGCTTTTGTTGTAGTGTAACAGGGTGGTCCCCAGGAAAGGGGGAGGTTCCAGGTTTCCTGCCCCACCCAAGGGAGGGTGGAGCTGAGCAGGGAGAGAAGAAGCTGCAGAGGAGACTGAGGAAGGAAGGAAGCAGGATGGAGAGCCAGAAGGAGACCTGGAGGAGGCACATGGAGCAGAGAGACATGTGAAGAAACTGCACTTGCCTTTTGGTCGTGGACTCGTTGAAACAGATATGGGTGAGAGACCGTGGGGAGGAGACAATGGTGTTTTTTGTCTTGACTTTGATTTGCTCTTTTCCCTCCAGACTTGTCTGGTTGTTTCTGATCCTTTTCTGTGGGTCCCCACTGGAAGATGCTTTAGACTTGTGGCAGGCTTTTGGGCCTTGCTCCGGGCCACTCCCATTTGGATGGACTTTAACCCATGAGGGGACGCGTAACTTTGGGTGCTTGATTTAGAAACTATATTCTTTGCCTTTCCTGTATTGTTTCCTAATTGTATTAAAGTTCCTTCCCATTAAAGTCTCATACGTTTTGTGTTGATGTGGCGGATGGCAGAACCTATTTAGAGCAGGAAGGTTTGCGGGGTCTGGGCTGCCCCTCTCCCTGCCCTGTAACAGTAGTATATCTTTTAGTATACTACACTTATAATTATCTACCTTATGCTTTTAATTTTCAATTTAATGTGTTGTCTTATAAAAAGCAATTAAAAAAATTACTAAAACCATACCATAAGGAGACTGTTTCAAAGCTAAAATATTGATGGGTAAGTAAAAGGGCAAAATATTTTCCAGGGAGCAATGAATCAGTATGACATAATTTTTGTTCCATGAATACCTCCAGAACAGTGAACCTCTTAAAGTGATAATGAAATACTGGGAAAAAAAATGGCTATAGTTCATATACTCATTGTGTACTTTTGAATTTTTATTGAAACCTATAGCTTCTTTCCATCATCACAAGAATATACTTACTTCCTAATAAAAATAAAACTATTTTAAATGAGGTCTGGAAACTTTAATATGGAGTATATATCATAATGATATAACAAGAGAAACTCTTGGATTTCTCTCTGAAGTTTAAATGTGAGGCAGACAGACGTCTGACTTTAAAACAGATGGAACCCCAGAACATTTTCAGGATACATAAAACTGAATTTTCTGTTATATTTTATGCCTGAGACATTACCAATACAAATCGACGGCGAGGGTTTTTGCACTAGTTGTTTTCTCCCATCTTCCCCTTCTAATATCCAAATACAACAATTTAATGTTTCTTTTGTAATCCTATGGATGAGCATTCCAGATTGTATATGATTCTTGTAATTTGCTCTATAATTTGTAATTTTAAGTATGTGCATATGCTGTCTATTATTATATTATGTCATTAATCAAGACACAATCATAATATGTATCAATTCATGGAACCCAAAATAAATACTGTGACACAAGGGGGAAAAAAATACAAGTTTTCACTAATAAAATGAGTTTATTTTATATTAAAGTTTCAAAAAAACACATTTGTAAAATTACTCCCAAACTAGCTTAAAGATAGTCTTTACAAAGTTATTTAAAAATTGTTTTAACTATTAAAGTATATAGATTTAAAAGGAGTTAGAGAAAATGTTAATTCAGGGTCAATGTTAAGAGAGTTAATATACATTAAATCCATAGGCAACTACTAGAAGGTAAACTCTTAAAAAACATTTAGGGGATAAAGCTGTACTTTTCTTCCTAAGTTTTACTTTTATTGCTTACTAAGAACTATACACTGCATATCACAGTAACAATGATCTTCTCCAAATGTACCTAATTGCTTTACAAATGATCAACCTACATAAGCTAAAACATATAAAGTTGCTTTTCAATAGATATTATCTCCTTAATTTTCCTGATGAAAAGAGAATCAAAATAAAAATTTAGCTCATTCCAATAAAAATACAAATCATTATTTAATATAATATTGTATTATTTTTAACAACCCAAATGTTCAAGCATTGCAAAAGCACAAAATGTGCTATTTCAAAAAAGGGGATAGAAAATGTTTATCTAACCAATGTTTTACAGAAATTTAGAATATTTACATACTTTATAACACTGTAGAAATCTTTGGTGGTGACATATGGATTAAGTTCCCTGAAGATACGTTAATAATTTTGTTCTATCAATCTGTGTAGTCAAGTATTTAAAATTAGTAATGCTGGCAGTATCATTTTCTAGCCAAATCCACATACATATAATGGAGTGTGTGGAGGGAATCTTAACACAGTACCTAGGTGGGATTACATAATTAAAAACTCAGCAATAGGCTTATTCTGGCTCATTTTTATGCCAGGAAAAAATATGGCAAAAAGAATAGATCAATTCTTACTTCCAAACAAATTGTAGAAAGTTAACAAACATGTTGAATGAATATATAGTAAAATAATATACCATTTACAATTTCTATATAAACCTTAAAAGTCAGCAAAATAGTATCCTAAATAGGCTTGTGCAGCATCTGATGCTCATTCACCAGGTGATGGTAGTGGGGAAAATAAGGCACTGTGGTCTAGGGATAAATTGATCTCTTTTAAAAGCAGTAGACTAAAAGCAGAGAGACAGTGACTTGCTTCACCTTAAAAGAAACAAAAATTTATAAGTGTATTATATGACGTGAAACATAATTAAACAGAAGGACGTGCATTAACTCTAATATTGGTGATGCCTTTGACTAAACTTTTTGATTCTAGAAGTGTAGAGTGCTAAATAATTTCTCCATTTAGAATGGTATTAGTATTATTAAATTGTAAGTTTAATGCTGAGAATAGACTTGAAAATATAAAGTGATGCAAAAACAGCTCTCACAGATAATGCTTTTTGATCTAAAGTAACTTAAATGAGTGACCTTATCAGGCAATTTGAGATGACATTGCTGTTGTAAGGAAAGACAAGCATGGTATAGCATTTACAATGATAAATCTAGCACTCGTCAATATAAATAAAACTCTCTTCCAAGAGTTTATAATCAGAATACATAGAAAATATGATCACAAATTAAAGATCCTTAGTTCCTGAAACTAAGGAGCTAAAAATTAGTGAAGATAAAGTAATAAATACATTCATAGAATGAAACTTTGGGAGAAAAGAAGCTGAACAAATTTTTACAAGTTGCTATATGTCAAGAATGTGAGATAATCTAGAAAATGTTTTAAGGCTTGTATTAAAAGAAACATGAATTATACTAAGGCACTCCTGAGTAAACACACTGTTCTCTGCCAACACTCTGAGGAGGTCCTGAATATACATTGCCAGCTGGCTTTGTTTCTTAAAAGGTAAAAAGGTCAAAGAGCTCACAAATCTCTCATTGTATTTTCTTCTGAACAAACAAGTAGAATAGTCAAGCAAAAATTATCTGACAAGAGTAAGTATATTAATACGATTCCTGATCACTAAAACCATCACCAGAAATATACTGGAGTTCATAATGCATAGTTACCAATGCAACCTAAAAAAGTCTCAAATATGAATACCTCAAAATCTCTTGGATAAAAACATGGTATTTTTCTAATATCTATTCTAATAGCTTTTAAGATGTAAGACTAACAACCTCTGTATTTTGCATCTGCAGGAAATTAGCCAGAAGAGAAAGAGATTCAAATGTTTCTAGTTAGTATGAAATTTATAAATCAGCAGCAAATATGAGTGCCAAGCCTGTGAATAGACTGACTGTTGGGTTATTTCATGAATTAGAAAAGACCTAAGCACTATACTGGTCTCTGACTCTATTTAATAAAATCTACAACTTTTTAAAGTTAAAAGTATAACCAGTGTTAACAAAAACATGCTAAGTTCAACTCTAAGGTAGAGCAAAAAATGAAAAACTGGTTAATATTTAATATAACTTATCTGTAAAGAAGATAATTCTAAATAGTTAAAATTGAGCAGTTAATTATATTTTTATATTATGAAAATCAAATGAATTTAACAAATGAAACCCACAGCAACAGAGATGATGTAATTCAAGGCATGAATTTGATATGTCAGAATACGACAAATAACAATAGTGACAATACAACTAAAATGTACAGTTGTAAAATAAGTAAACAATTTTCAAGTGTGCAAAACTAGTAAGGAATAAAAGTGCTATGTGGATACCTGGTTTTCAAATCTTTGTTTAGAAAACTTTCAGTTGAGGGTGGAAATAATAGAAAACATTAAAAAAAGTTAAAATTTAAAGAGTACATAAAACTTATTTTATCTTATCTGTCACTGCTGCATTAGAGGCTTCTTTAATTACTATCCCCACGTGACAGATAAGTGTAAATGGAGGTAAACACAATACAATACCACAATGGCTGATGTATCTTGAACCATAAGAAGACTCTTTTCAAGTATACTGTGGGTTTGTATCATTTTATATATTAGTATAAATGTATCATTATACATTAGTTGGGATATCAATTTATATCCCCACTCAATGTTGCTGAGTAATTTGAAAACAACACAATTCTCTATTATTTCATATATAAGTAAGTTTTGCATAACTACCCTTCGCAGTCAAGATTTGGATGTAATTGTTAAATAAAACTATTTAAATTGATGAAAGTAAACCCTACCACCGCCACAATTTAAAGAATTATTTAATGTGAATACATTGTGAATATATAATGTTGGAAAAAAAGTCGATGTATTAGCAAAATTTGTCTTGGGCTACTTGAAGTGTCCATGACTAAAAATACACCTGTGGTCTCTTCTTTACTTTATATTTGAGTGACCCATACCGCACCTGAAGAGAGAAATGTGTTATACAAATTAGATGATTACTTTTTGAAATTAGATGAGACTTAATAGTTCATAATCACAGTAACAAGATTTTAACTTTTCTGATAGAATCAGTTATCCTATAAAGATATAGTCAGATGACATTACTATTTATATACTCAAAAATGTAGCTGGAATTATGCTGAATATGTTGGTCTCTAATAAATAGTCTCTAATAAATAAAAACATGAACTCATTATTTATGATTTACTTCAGACAATGTCTATGTACATTGCTAACAATGTGCCATTCCCTGGAATCCTTCATTGCTTTCTGGACACAAAGACATTGTATTATTATGGACAAACTTTTACTATTTGATCCTTATGTGGGTTGTTGGTTCAAGGTAAAACCATGCACATAATTTTGTTCATTGCTGTCCTTATGTGTAGGGCTGGCACTGGGCACTCAGAACAACCATGAGTCACCATGTTTGTATATCATTCTACTTCTGTGTATTGTACTTATAATGGAAGACTAGAAAGTTACCATTTTCCAAATTTTCAGAGATCCTAATGTATCTGATTGGAATAAAGAATTTTAAATATAACTGCTGTGCCACTATTCTAATCCTTCATTTATGGATCATTAATATCCTTAATGATAATGCAGTAAAGAAATCCCTTCATACTAAATCATTAGGAAAACAAATCTACTTGACTGACCTCTTTGCGGCCTTTGATGGTTTTCACAGATTTCATGCTTTGTGTTCTTCGAAGCCCTTTGTGTGTTAACATCTCATCATCTGAATACATTCCTTCCCCTTCTTCATCTGTTTTCTCATCTCCATCTTTCAGTGGAATTCCATAACCTAAACAAGTTGCCAAAACCAGCATGTTTTGGTAAAAGGATACCGGTCAGCACTGCCCGTTCCCCCTGGCCTGTATGGTTTGCATTTGCCCAGTCACTCCTCTCCCTTTCTCATCTGGAATATCCACTTCATCATTAGTCTTTGCCCCTTGTGCTATTCTAGATGAAGCTCATATTTCTTCCCAAAGTTTCCCTGACCATTCTTGTTTTTACTATGCATTTTTTTCAGAATAAGAATAATCTATTTTTGAGTAACATATTTACCTTGAGTAAAAAATCAAAGAATATGTAGGTAGTAAGAAGTTTCCTGCTGCCCCGTCTCCTTTTCATGAATTCTAAACAACCAAAGCAATTGTGTGTTTTAGTCTATCACTTGTACTTTCGGTTTTAATTGGGTATTAAGGATCTGCTTCTCTCCATCTTGTGTCAAACCCTTTGTCAAGACTGGGAAAGGGGACTCCCCGGTGGCAGCAGGTTGAGCGCAGTGCTGTGAAGCTGTCCGCTGCCTTCGTGGTGCCTGTTTGATTCCCGGCTGGCCAGGGGAGATTCCCACATGGCGCGCAGACCTCTCCTGTCGCACCTGCTGCTCCCCTCAGCAGTGTATTTCGGTTCTTCTGCCTGTTCTACTGCTCTGTCTCTGGTGGATTCTCTCACGCTCCCGTGCCTCTGGCCTGTACCCCAGTGCTTGCATAAATAAATAAACAAACAAACAAACAAACAAACAAATAAATAAATCTTAAAAAAAAAAAAAAGACTGGGAAAGGTAGGGTGAATTTAAGGAGTCAGAAAAGACCAGAAGAGACTAGAACTCGCAACAAGGTAAGTTCACCAGGGGCAGATAATGGAACTGTTAAGCCAACATGGTTGCAGCTGCTGAGCTAAAACCCAGTCAGACAGACAACAGTAATTAGAAATGCTGCAGGCTACAATGACAGATGTAAGTCATAAAAAAAAAAACAGCATCAGGAAGGTCAGAAAGAGATGGTGTGGGTGTGCTAACAGGCTGCTGTGTGTAGCTACAAAGACTTATTAACACTGGGTAATACGAAAGCATCCAGGGGGTCTGGCTGGTTATTGTCCAGAAGTCTGAGAGCATCTTGAGGCTGAGATTAAGGGACAAGAACACTCCATTCCCAAAGCACTGGTCCTCAAACGTTAGCACGTATTAGAGTCACCTGGAGAACTTGTTAATACATGGATTGATGGGCCTAAGATAGGGCTGAGAATCTAATTTCTAATGAGTTCCCAGGTTATGCTGCTGGTCCAGGGTCCACATTTAGAGAACCATTCCCTGGAGAGAGCAAGAGAGTACTCAGGTTTTAAGCAACCAGAACACTAAGTTGATTATAAAGAGAGGGATGAGGTTACAAGGCCCTGTAATGTTTCAAATTCTCCTTTAATAAAGATAAGGAGCATTAATATCTAAATCTTTGGGTGAGAAAAAAATTGCTTTTTTTTTTTTTTTGCCCCAGCCTCAGAAGGGAGCAAAGGATGGACTTCCCGTACATGAAAAAAAAATATCCAAAGACATAACAACTTGAGACACACTTTACAACTTGAAACAAACCACAAAGTTATTAATAAGCCTCAGTTTCATAATAAGATAATCATTTGGTACCATTTGATGCTGCCAGACTTCTGGGCTAGAAATTAGGGAAGATTCATAAGTAGAATAAGTTATTATTTAGGCCAAGAGCCTTTGTTTCCTCCAGCGCTCCAAGGACACCGTTTTAGGTAGAAGGGATGGCACATACAGAGGCTTAAGTCAGGGGAGAGCATGGCTGCCTGCCTGTGAGAACTGCAAGGTGATCTGTGTGGCCAAGGGAGGGAATGGGGTCAACAGAGCTCAGGAAATGCTCTTGGTGCTGTATCAAGTGGAAAAAAATACATATAGGAAGAAAGAAAAAAAAAAAAACATAAAAATGAAGCCACTACATCTCTTGAAAGCGGGCTTTTAGGTATTTTTAAGTTTCTTCATCTTTCAAGTTTGTAATGTTTTTATTTAAAAAATTTCATTACCTCTATAACCGGGGCAAGTCAGCTAGAAAAAAATTATTTTGAGGTTGTTATTTCTAGATTTTTCTCTATTTCTATCAATTAAAGAGCAGAAAGGAAGCAACTGATCAGAATATTTTCTAAGGCCGGAGGTGAAGCACAGTACTATAGTTCAACAAACAGAGTGAGCTAATTCAATTGCTTCTTATTTTAAACAATTAGGAATTAGAATTTTATGTAAAGTGATTACATAAATATAAATATATAAATAACTTACTCTATTTTTGTTTCCTAATTTCAGTTAAAAAAATTATACTAAAAAATTATACTAGCTTTTAAATTAGTTTCAGGAAAAGTGATGGATTTGATTCATTATTCCTCATTGTGTATTTTGAAAATTCTATGTATGAAGCCATGCTAAATTATGAGGATATAATGACAGAAAAGACACATCTGTCCTTTCCCACCCTAAGAACTTACAGCCTAATAGGGAGGAAAAGACTGTAATGGGCATAACAATAATAAATACTATAAACAGAAGATAAGGAGCTATGATAGCACACAATAAGAGAGTGAACTCAGCCTGGGGGTGGAGGATGTGAGTAGGGAAGGAAGACCTCTTTTGGAGAGAGTGACTAAGATGAATTCTGAAAGGTCGCGGTCATTCTATATAGCTAGTAAGTGACATAGTGGGAGAACAGGCTGGGGTGCTAATAAATTACATACTACTGAGCTTGGATTTCATCAGAGAGCAATGGAGGGCCATTGAAACATTTTAACCAGAAGGATGATGTGATTAGACTTGGGTTCTTTATAAAACTCTTCTTGCACTGTGTAGAATGAATCAGAAGTGGATGAAACTGGAAACAGGAGACTACTGGGACTAAGGTGGGCCAGATATGAGAGTTCACAGCAAGGACAGAGAAGGTAGCCAATGGGATCCATCACATGAAACTGACAAGTTCAACTTCTTACTAAACAAAACGATGCATCAAAAAAAAGAGTAAAATAAAAAATCCTCTAAAATATGCATTTTCTCTAAGAAACTGGAAATGAGTATCAATGAAAATTCTGCTCTGAGTGGTAGAAATAATGTTAGTTGAAGTTGTCTGAGGATTTAAAAGACTTTGGAGAAGAGGGAGACCGGAAATGATGAAAGAAACTGAATCTGAGTGTTTTATCAGAGCAGGCACGCAGTAAGCTGGTTGAATGGCTTCTGGGTCTGCCAGGCTGGGGCAACGTGGTATTGTCCTCACGACAGTGCCTTCTATGCACTTTCCTCAGAAGCAGTCACTGGGGAGCCCTAAACTGAGGAATCTGTGTTGCTAGGGCCGTAGGTCCTAAGACTACAACTCTTTGGGACACATCAGCTTAGGGCTTTGTTACCATTTTAGGAAACTATAATAGTAGATGCTTTTGCATACTAGCCTGGTTTTACTTATCTCATATACTTTAAATCGATATATTTTATGTTACCCTTTCTTATAATAAGTCAATTTTGATTTCATACTTAAGCATGTACCAGGCACTGTTCTATGTAGTTTCCACATATTAATTTGAGTGCAGAATCAGAGAAAGGTTGACATGGAAGCATCATTAGCTACTGTGGTGGAAGGAGCCCTAGACCAGTGTCAGGATTATCTTGCTATTTATTAGCTGTGAGACCCTTACTGAGTACTCTGGACCCGAGACTTCTTATCTGGTATGGTGGTAAGATAGATGGGTGATGATGAATAGGTTTTCTTTATAAGTCCCACTAGCCAGATGAGGTGTCTGGGGCAGTATGTTGAGTGGCATTCTAAGCCAGTGTAGGAAAGTGCCACAGTGCATTAGCAAATGGGAGCCATGGGCATGTCACCTAGTTGCTATCTTTGAATAAAACATCCTAAAGTCACTTCTGCTCAAATTATTTGAATTTACAATGACAGAACAACTGTAAAAAAAATTGGTTTAGGAATCTCGAATACCTCATGTCTGTGATTGAGTACACAGCCTTTGACAAGTAATTTTAAACTCAAGTCTTAGTTTATACAACAAAATAAGGATAAAAATATTTAAGCTGCCTAGTCATGTTAAGTATTAAATAAATATATAAAACATCTAAAAAAATAAGCAAAAATAAAATCTCTTTATGTGCTGGTATTGAAATTGAGTATTGGGCCATTTTTAACTAATAGGGTAGTGTCAGGTTCCTTGAAGAAAATATTTCCACTTATCTAATGTTGTTTCTTTCAAAGGAAGTGAACATCATGTTCAAAGGAACATCATGTTCAAGGTGTCCACTTTCACAAAAAAAAAACATTGGGAAGAAGCTGTTTTTCCCATCGTGACAATAAGCAGATTTGAATGAGTTCATCAAAGCAGAACTCCTTGTTCTTTTTTTAAAAAAAATTATTTTATATAATTCTTACATCATTTTTCATCTTTGTACAATGTATGCATTTTCATTTTGGTTATATCCCCCCTACAATTGCATCCTCCCCCCTTATTTTGACTCTAGTTCTTCCTCTCCCACCTCTCCCTAATCCCTCCCCCCCCCAATTGTGTGTCTCTGGTTTATAGTTGCTTGTTGATTTTGATTATTACTTTGCATTGATTAGTCTTTTTCCTGGTCTCTTATTTAGGTTTTCTAAATTCCTGCCATGAGTGAGACCATCTGGTATTTTTCTTTTTCTTTCTGACTTATTTCGCTGAGCATGATCCCTTCTAGCTCCATCCATGTTGCTGCAAACTGCATGTGTTTATCTTTTTTGATTGCTGAGTAATATTCCATTGTGTATATGTACCACATCTTGATCCAGTCATCTATTTTTGGGCATTTGGGTTGTTTCCATATCTTAGCTATTGTAAATAGTGCAAAGCAGAACACCTCTTGATAAGCTAACCTCAAAAAGCTCAGAGCAGGACACATTAAGAGGGCCATACTTTTCCAGATATCTGAACTTGTGTATGTGAACAATCAGAGATTCGGAGGTAACTGCATTGATTACATGTGCCAGTAGACAGAGAGCAACGTGAATGTAACTCCCACACTGAAAAACTTACCAATTTCATTTTTGAGGAATTTTGGAAGTAAATGAGTGAGTAAATAAAAGGAAAATAGGGAATGATACTTAAAAAATGAATACCTTAATTATTGGAAACTAATGTTACTTGAATAAAAAAAAATTCAATAAAAAGCTACCAACTAGGGCCTCCCTGGTGGCGCAGCGGTTGAGCGCTGGGTTGCGAAGCTGCCCACAGCCTCTGCAGCGCCAGTTTGATCCCTGGTCACAGGGCGAGGGTCCCACATGGCGCGCAGACCTCTCTTGCCGCGCCCGCTGCTCCCCTCAGCAGTGTATTTCGTCAGTCTGTCCTGTTCCCACTCTGGCTCTGGTGAATTCTCTCACCCTCCCGTGCTTCTGACTGTGCCCGTGTTTGTATAAATAAATAAATTAATTAAAAAAAAAAGCACCAACCAAAAAAACAAATTGGTTTTAATTATAAAGGATAAGTTTCACAAAACCCAAATAAACTGCAGAAATCTAACTGTAGAACTGAAGCTACCAGAGGGAAATGTGGGGGAGGAATAAAGGGAGGACACAATGGACTATATAAGAGGATTTTGGGTGTTTTGGTGGTGGGGCTGGTGTTAGCTGAGGAGCTGTGAACCTATACCCCTAATGTATATGCAATGCTGTTATTGCAATAAAAATAACATTAAAAGGGTGATTTTTAATATCTTTAAAAGAAAATTTCTATTTAATAAAAAAAATCAAACAGCCATTTACCTTATGGACTAATGATATGTTAATAAGAAATTTCCTGATGATCTTACTTCTCAGTTGAGCCTTGACCTAAAACTTTCTAACATGTGAAAAATAACTAAGAAATGTCTTTTTATTTATGTGTGTTTATAAGATTACAGTGTATTAAAAGTTTTAGAATATCAACTACGACATGCCCGTAATTTACATTAGAATATATCTGCAAGTTAGTTCTTGATTTAGAATATGTAATTTCAACACATTTTCCATTGGAGTAATCCCATTTTCAAACTGAGTCATCTTTTGTTACTGGCTTAAAACTATCTTGTGAGTCAATATTCTTATTTGTTCAATGCACTTACAGTAAAAAGTGTTTAACTATAAAACTTAGATGTCACCACATAGTTTGAGTAGCAAGAGCATCGATCACAGGTCAGGACTAGTGTTGGTGGTGAGGAGGTGATGGTAGCCACACCCCCGCCTCTACTGCTACTTGGCTGGATTATCTCCAGAGTCAACAAAAGGCAAGCACTAACCTTAGTTAGAAAAAAAAATTGAGAAAGAGAGCTACAGTTAGGTGTAAAACTAAAAAATATAAGCTTAAATGCATCTTTTGACAGACCTAGAACAGCTACTGGCTATAGCCAAGGATTCCACTACAGATGCAAGAAAAAAAAAATCTTCAGTTTCTCAGTTTCTGTCTATCTGCTTGTGGCAGCCAAGATTGAACAAGGGAATACAGGAGGTGGGAAAATGTGTGGTTACATACAAATATACATATACATACATTCATATATATGCTTAAAAATAAATTTTGTTAGGGCCTCCCTGATGGCACAAAGGGTTAAGCACCACACTATGAAGCAGTTCGCAGCCTCTGCAGCACAAATTCAATCCCTGGCCTGCCAGGGAACAACCCACATGGTGCAGCAGACCTCTCCAGTCTTGCCCACTGCTCCCCTCAGCAGTGTATTTCAGTCTGCCTGTTCTGTTCCCCACTCTGTTTCTGGTGAATCCTCTCACCCCACACATTTCTGGTCTGTACCCCAGCTGTTGTATGCATAGATGGATAAACTTTAAAAAAAAAAAAAGGAAATTTTGTCTACCCAAATTCAGCTAGTTACTGGGTATTATTTTGTGGCCATCTTGACTCAAAATCCAGACTCTTAAAGATACAATAAAACAAACAAACGCACCTGCTGATTCACTGGATGTTGGTTTACTTTTCTTTTTTATCCCAGGTAAAGGTTGGTACGGTCTCTGTTCCACAGGCTCCTCACCCTGGATAGCAGTTAGATCATGCATACTAAAACTTCGTAAACGTTCAGTTATTGCTCCTTGGCTCTAGTTATAGGTGATAGATCCGAGAAAAAAAATACATTTTAAGACATTTAACATGCTCATATTTACCTCTCCCCAAGTATTTATTATGAAACTTATTCATTTTAAAACGATATTTTCATTAAAGTTGAAAGAACTGTTCAGTGGATTCCCATGTATCATTTACATTTTGGTATATTTGCTTTATCACACATCTACCCTCTACCCATCCATGAGTTCACTTTCTAATGTGTTTCAAAGCTGCAGACATTAGAACATTTCATTCCACAAACATTTCAGATTTTTCATTTTAAAACGTAAGAATCTCTATTGACAAGTTCACCCTCTGAGTAAATAGCATTTATAATTTTGCTTTCTCTTAAACCAGCATTTTGGGATTTAAGTTTACGATTTACTGTTTTAAAGTAAAAGAGACACTATTTTAAAGCTAAGGTAAGTCAGGAGTGGTAATGTATTTTTAGGAGAAAGGAAAAAAATATTAAGAGCCAAAGAATCTTGGATATGAAATGAGACTCAGTTAATGAATTCATTATCTGGCAAGGCATATTATTACTATTACTACTACATAATTTAACTTTAACATGGTAGACACTAGTTACATGTGGGAATTTAAATTTAAAATAACCAAAATTAAATACACTTAAAATTTCAGCCCTTCAATTGCACTAGCCACATTTCAAATATTCAATAGACATCTGTGGTTAGTGGCTATTGTATAAAACAGTGCAACACAAGGCATTTCCATCACAGTAGACAGTTCAATGATTTCTAACACTGTACAGCTCAGAAAGGTACATTTCTTCCCTTTTCTGACATAACTACATTTCCCAAAGTCTAAAGCTTTGTGAAAAGATAATTTCTAAACTTATTCACTTAGAAAATTTGCATAGCATATAGATGACTCATTTCTTATTTATAGCTGAATTAAAAATATTCTTCTAAAGGTTTCTTATACTTAATTTCTCCTAACACTTGTGAATTTATGATTGCTTCTAGTTAAATTACTGTAGAAACTCATCCATAATGGTTCATTTCTCAATTTCAAGAACTAAAGCTCTTAAAAACATTCAAATGTTACTTCTAACATGAATTTTATTTTGAAGAGAAAGGTCTTGATGCACAAGTCTTAAATTTTTTTTAAAATTTGAATAATATTGCATTATACCAGTAACTAAGTTTCAGGTGTGCATTGCTGAAAATCAACATGTGTATATACTACATTAAGGTCATCACTGAAAGTCCAAATCTGTCCTTTACCATAGGATGTCGTCTTTGTCCTGATTGACCTGTCCTCATTTCCCCTTCCCTTCTGGTAACCACTAATTGGTCTTATAGTCCAAATGTTTAAATTTGTTTTATTTAGCTCATCTGTTTGTTTCTTTCTGCATACCACATGAGTGAAATCACAGAGTGCAGTCTTCCTACATCTGACTTATTTCACTATGTCTAATGTCCTCTGGGTCCATTCATGTACCAAATGGCAGAATTTCATCTTTTTATTATGGCTGAGTGGTAGCTTTCTATTGTGTATACATATCACATCTTTATTTAATCATCTGTGGATGGGCAGTTAGGTTATTTTCAGTTTTTGACTATTGTAAATAATGCAGCAATACATATGTTTTTTGCAATATGTTTTTTACAAAATGCAATACATAACATTTTGTATTTTTTGAGTAAATGCCAAAAAGTGAGATTACTGGATCTTATGAACTTCATTTTTTTTTTTTGAGGAATCTACATACTACATACTACTTTCTTTCCATAATGGCTGAACAAATTTACATTACGACCAACAGTATATAAGAGTTACCTGCTCTCCACATCCTCGCCAACACTTGTTTTGTATTTTGGATAACAGCCATTCTCACAGGTGTGAGGTGATAGCTCATTATGGTTTTGGTGTCATTTTCCCTAATAATAAGTGATCATGAGCACTTTTTCAGGTGCTTGTGGGCCCTCTGTATGTCTTCCATGGAGAAGTGTCCATTCAGATTCTCTGCCCATTTGTTTTCTTTCTTTTTTAAAAATATTTATTTGTATGCAAGAGCTGGGGTACAGGCCAGAGGCGCGGGAGGGTGAGAGGATTCACCAGAGACAGAGTGGGGAGCAGAACAAGCAGATGACGGAAATACACCGCTGAGCGGAGCAGCGGGCGTGACAAGAGAGGTCTGCTGTGCCATGTGGGAATCTCGCTGGCCGGCCGGCCGGGATCAAACCCACACTGCAGAGGCTGCGGACAGCTTCACAGCACTGTGCCCAACCTGCTGCGCCACCGGGGAGGCCCTGCCCATTTCTTAATTGGTTTTTGTTTTTGAGTTTTATGTGTTTTTATATTTGGGACATTAGCCCTTTGTTAGGCATATGATGTGCAATATCTTCTCGCATTCAGTAGGATGTCTGTTCATTTTGATGCACATTTCTTATGCTGTTCAGAAGCTTTTTCTTTGATGTAGTCTCATTTATTTTTGCTTTTGTTTCCCTTGCTGTTGAGGTTAAATCCTTAAAAACAACTCTAAGGCTGATGTCAAGGAGTGTATCACCTATGGTTTTCTATGTATTTTATGGTTTCAGATCTTACATCCAAGTCTTTCATCCATTTTGAGTCAATTCTTGGGTATGGTGTTGATGGTTTAGTTTAATTACTTTTCTCTTGCCTGCTCAGTTTTCCTAACACCATTTATTTTATTTTATTAAAGGCTTATTTTTATTTATTTATGCATACAAGAACTGGGGTACAGGCCAGAGGTGGAGGAGTGAGAGGATTCACCAGAGACAAGAGTGGGGGACAGAACAGGTGGATCTCCTGAAATACACTGCTGAGGGGAGCAACGGGCGAGACAGGAGAGGTTCGCTGTGCCACATGGGTCAGCTGTCTGGCTAGGGATTGAACTCATGCTGCAGTGGCTTCGGATAGCTTCATACTGCTGAGACTTAACCAACCACTTGCACCACCAGGGAGGCCCCCAACACCATTTATTAAAGAGACTTTCTGTGTTCCATTGTAAGCTTTTGGCTCCTTTGTTGTAAGTTGTCCTTGCATGTGATTTTACTTCTGAGTTCTCAAGTCTGTTCCACTGATCTGTGTGTCTGCTTCCCATGCCAATACCAAGCTATATTAATTATTATTGCTTTGTAGTACTGTTTGAAGTAGGAGAGCATGATACCTCCATTTTTGTTCTTTTTCTCAAAAGTGTTTTTTTACTATTCTGGGTCTTTTGTAATCCAAATTAATTTCATGATTTTTGTTCTATTTCTGTGAAGAATGACATTGGGATTTTCATAGGGATTGCACTGATGATTCATGAGTCTTGATTCAGCTACTCTGAGTTGTAATTTTACTAGCATTCAATCTGTAACTGAATAATTCTTACTATACTGTTCAATAACAAATAGCCATTAAGCTCTATTTCTTATTGACCCTTCACATATTACATTATAATTGCAGATAAGGTTACTTCCCTACTTTTAGGGAAATCTCTTTTCCCTACGGACATTCAACAATTAATCTGTTCAAGTCTAGGCTAGAACTGAATTCATTTTTTAAAGATTTATTTTTATTTATTTATGCATAGAAGAACTGGGGTGCAGGCCAGAGGTGCAGGGGGTGAGAGGATTCACCAGAGACAGAGTAGGGAGCAGAACAGGTGCACGTACTGAAATACAGTGCTGAGGGGAGCAGCCGGTGGGACAGGAGAGATCTGCTGTACCATGTGGGTTAGTTCCCTGGGTGGAACAGAACTCAGGCCACAGAAGTGATAGCTTGATAGTGCTGAGATTTAACCCCTATGTCACCAGGGAGGCCCCAAGAACTGACTTCACTTACATTAAGTGAATAATATAGTGATTTTAATATTAAATTAATAATATTTATCAAAGAACATTTGTAAGAGAAAAACATTAAAATAAAAGTTATTTGCTAACCCAAACTATCTACACATAGTTTTATATCCCTTTAGCTTTATGTGACTTCTCATACTTTTAGAGTAGAACTTCTCATCCCCAGAACTATTGTTATTTAGAACTGGATCATTTTTTATTGTGAGGAAGCTGTTCTACACATCCTAAGATATTAAGGGGCATCCCTGGTTTCTACCCCCTAGATGCCAGTAGCAACACACCCCTTCCTCAGTTGTGACAACCCAAAGTGTCTCCAGACATTGCTAATTTCCCTTAGAGGGGGCAGCAGGGGCAAATGTGCCCTTAGTTAAGAACCATCATTTTTGATATATAAGGGGCTTTTGAAGTCAGGTTTCATCCCTTCATTTTACAGGCAAGAAAATTTATACTTAAAAGAGATCAGTGCAGATATTTGCCCAAAAGTTCATGATTAATTAGTGGCGGAATCAAAGCTAAAGATATGCAGATAATTTCAGTGCTACAGAACTCAATGTTAATTTTAACATTCTGCTTCTTGTAAGGAAAATAGTGTGATTCTTCTTTTCCATTGTCTGGAAAAAATGATCTCCTTTTTGAATGGATGAACTGCTGAATACCCTCAAATCCTTTCACAAACAGAGAGTCAGATATCAGGACTTCTTACCAGATCATGATTATTTAAAGTCAATTAGATTTCAACATTTTCACTTGTAAGGTTCTAATTTCTGTGATGATTGCTTTTTTTTTAAGACAATGTTTGCTAAAGAATTTACTGTGAAAAGGCTACCAGGGAAAATTCGAAGAGAAGGTTAATATGACAAACAGTACTTTTCTTCAACTGTCCTCCACTTGGCAGTATCTTGCTCATCTAGACAAAAGTTACCTACATTTCTCAAGTGAAAAAAGCTATGAACATCCTCAGCAAAATCCTTGAAGGTCCTTCATACATTTATGCTTTGCTCAGCCAAAATAAACTCTACATTGACCTTGTGAACAGATGCCTGGTAATGAGGTCACAGAGCTGAGTAACATTTTCTGAAAATTGCTTTATGGTGTAATAAATGTTGTGATTAGATTTCTATTTTCATCTCTAACATGCTCAGGTGGTTCAACCAGGGAAACCTAGTCAGGGGTATTACAGATCTTTAAAGGTCACACAAGTCCTGCCATTTTTAACTCGAAAGATATTTTTAAAAACTATGTATTATAAAAATTTAAAATAATTCTCAAGTCCTACCATTGGCTTTCTGGCAGTTTCTCCTTAAACTTGACCTATTTTCCTATTTCAGTTTTCAATTTATTCTTTTGTATGGAAATGTCTGGATCAGTGATTCTTCCATCACAGTGCCTTACTTTGACATCTCCAAGATGGAACTTATTTTAACTTCTCGAAATAAGGCACAGGACAACTTGACGCAAACAGTGTTAACATTATGCTATGCTCAGCATATTTAATGATTATTTCTAGTGAATAAAATCCAAGATGACTGAAGCCAACATTTCTGTGCTCACGCTGAGAATAGTGAGGGAAACTTCATACCCAGTGAGTGATCTTGTTGGCGAAAGGCTCACGACATCACAAACAAGAAAGGAAAGCTCCAAAATAAATTAAAATTACAGGATATGTGTGTGTTTGTTTTGCAGTGGTTAAGTTAGATAATATTTGTGTTCTTTGTTTCCTGCCTTTGAAGTGGGAAGGTGGTTTTAAACTGTTAAATAAATAAATAAAAACAATGAATCACAAAGAAGAAAACCAGGGAAAAGGAGATATAGGATTACTTTTATAGTCTTTCAACAGAAAAAACCCACTTCTGTTAGATGATCTTTATTTTAATATGGAGGGCAAGAGGGAGGCTCTTAGCAATGAAAGATGAGACAAAATTTTCAGTTAGTGAATACAGACATTCATAGCCTATGAGGGTAGAGACTATTGTTCATTGTTGACTCTCGGCACCAACAATATAGTAGGGATTATTTTATTTTATTTATTATTTTATTTTATTTATTATTTTATTTAACTACTACTATTAGTAGTTATTAGTAACTACTAGTTCTACTTTATTAATAACTACTTCTAGTAGTTATTAATAATATTCATTTAAATAAAAATGTAGGATGTAAAATATTGATGGCAGCAAACTATAAAATAAAAATAAATGAGGACGGAATCAAAATTTTACAGTGATTTGGGATTTCTGACTCTCCACTTAGAGAGTTCAGAAGTAGTAAAAATAAGTGAAAATAAAATGAATATGCCTTGAAATCATGATAATACATAGGAAGGTATCTCACAGAGTATAATTGTAAACTACATTTAAGTGTTAAAGTGAGAAGGAAACATGGCATTTGTATGCTTCTGTTTCTTATACCAATGTTCTAGAATGTCTATATTTTCTGAGTAATATTTCAAGTTGAAATATAATTTTAGGTTTTTGCCATAGAATCACGTTGAATGGTGTTTTTAAATATGGAAAATTCAGAAAGCAGCTTCCTTGCAGAGAAATACATCTAAAGTTAAATAATGCTAAATTTTGTAACAAATATAAGTAAAACACCCTTGGTCTCCTTTCCATCCCCCGACAGGAAACTCTCTACTTTCCTTAATGGCAGCTGAGGATTTTAGTTCTCTTTCACTTATTTTCTCCCTTCCTCCATCCTCCCAATAGAGCAAAATCACAGTTGTTCAATTCAGTCTGTGTTTTATTGATTGTAATATAAATGCTGTTCACTACTGAGCCAAGTCATGCTCCATTATTTCACTCCCTTTCTTATATAACTTTTGGTTTTCTTCCAGAGTTAACAATTATCCCTTTAAAAAAAAAATCATTTGCGCAGTGGTCCTACATTCTCCCTCTTCACATTGCTTCTAGCTGTACAGTAGATCTTCTGTCTGTACCCAGTGTCTGGTCACAGCACATGCTGGATTTAAGGATTAGCCCAGCACATCATCCCAGTACAGGATTAAACCCATTAGATATTGCCCCTTGGAAAACATCCATTAGATATTTTCCTGGAGACACCTTTCCTGGTACCTTTCCAATCCCATCCAATTTTGGCAGGTCATACTCTATACTTGCTGTGTAGTATTCCTCCTCAGAGTTCCTGTCACCTCCCTTCTGTACTGGATATCTTGCTTCCCATATCCTGTGGGTCTTTTTTTTTATGAATCCATAAAATTCCCTAGTTCTGGCAGAACATATCTACCCTGACAAAGGATATATAGAAGGTAAATTTTGTGACTTATGCATGCCTAAAAAATTATTCTAAGCTCACACATGACTGAAAGCTCGATTGTTATAAAATATGAGGGTAAAAATCATTATGGTATCATGGATGGTACTCTCTTGCTGTCTTTAAACTTCCACTGTCACTATATAGAAGATTAAATTTAATGACATTCTGATACTTAATCATTTCAGTGTGACACTTTCTGTATTTAAAATCCATAAGAAGTCTCTCCTTATCTCTGGTGTTTTGGAATATTCAGAGACCTTGCTTGACCATTGAATATTCAATGTGTCTTCTTCATTCACTGTGCTGGGTACTTTGTGGGCCTTGCTTATGTCCTTCAATTCTGACAAATATTATTTTCTTAGAAATTTTATTCAAAAATTATACCCATTCTTTCTTGGTAGAATTCTTAGTTGTTGGATTTTGGACCTCCTGGGTTATCTTTTTTAGATATGGCAATCAGTAATGTAGTTTCATTGAACAAGAAACAGAAAGCAAGTGAACTTCTTATAAAATGGAAAATAGTACTTAAGTAAGCAGAAAATTTTGCCATCCTAGTATTTATCTATACTAATAAAGGAAATAACATTTAATAGTGGCCAAGGCAAACTATACTAAAGTACAAATAATTAATAATCATTAATAATATGTTTATGCATACAGTGTTGTAGCTAATAAGTGTCTACTTAATCTTCAATACAACACTTTTAATATACAATTTGAATTTTTTCCTTATTGATCATATTAATTGTGATCAATATGGTGATACTTTATCCAGAGATCACCATGAAAAATAAAGGGTCATTTTGGGAATTTCATTTGATCTTTTATATTCCTTTATCATTGCTGTTCAATAAACTCAAATTTCCCCTTGAACTGAGGTAGAGATATTCATGTTTCTTGGGCTCTTACCATAATTTGGCAAGAATCGTATTTTTATATACGCTCAGAGAGATAGGTATATCATCCCCATATTATACACAAAGTAACTAAAGAACACAGACATTAAGTAAATTGCTAATGGTTATTTAGAAAGTCACACTCAACATTTTCTGGATCTAAAAGCCTGTTTTCTTTCCATATAGTATACACCAAAATCAATTATACCATGGTATTTAAAATAAACCACACTAATTACTACATGCAAAGAAATCCAAAAGCTATAATGCAAATGTTCACAGAAGGCATTCACTCAGTAACTTGGCTTGCAAAACACAACACATGACATTAATGTAATTGGCTAAGTAAAATCTCAAGTTTCAAAAACAGAATTTTTTCATGCCTTATTTTGAATAATCATTTACCTCAAATTGGTTGAAGGAGGGGTGCAGAAGTAAGCCAGAAGTCCTACCAAGGTATTGAGAGACAGAGAGAGAGAGAGAGAAAGAGAGAGAGAGAAAGAAACACACCAAAGACAAAGAAAGAATGGTCATCTTACTACCAGTAATTTACTCAAACAATTTTACTATTAAGATTACAAAGTAGGAAAATTATGATAAAATGACACTTTCAAGTATATCTTATTTATTAACTAGTTCTCATTTTGTGGTCAATTCAGAGTTTCAAATAATGAGTGTTAAAGAAAATATGTTAAAACATGTTTAAAATTATTTTCTATTTCTTTCCATTATTATCAACAAAGTTAAATTTTGCCAAAATTTAAAAATGTTTTGAAATAAAAAGTCACACAATTTTGCCTGCTGAGTTAACATGATATTGGATTAAAAAATGTAAATACAAAATTACCTTCACTGCTGCAGTGACAGCAGCAGTAGCGGCTAAGTTTAAACCTTGGCGCCCAAAGTTCACCATGGTCTCATAGCCCCGTTCCTTTGCTTGCACAATATAATCATCAATTTCCTGGAAGCAAAAAATAAAAAAAATAAAAAATGCAAAGATATTAATTTTATATAAAAATAGTGTCAAGAAGCCAAATATTAGGATATTCCCTCATAATATAAGCCTCACTAATTTTATAGCACAAAATACGATGTGCATTTCCAACAAATGATTTGTAGAAATAGTTTGTATGTCTTACCCTTTCCTTTGAAGAAAGAAGTGGATGAAGAAATTTTCTATATATTAAACTTGCTCCTTTGGTATAGGGAGAGAGCAGCCATATGACAAAAGCAATCTTAATCTCATAGTACAGGGGAAACCTAACAAGAGAAAAAATTGGAAAGAAACACTGGTGAAAATAAACTATAAGCAATGAAGATATCACAAGAACATTTTTAGAAAAAGTTCAGTCATGAGTTTGAAGCCATGAACTAATTAGTTAACTAAACACCAGTTTACAAAAGTATGACCTGGACCCTGCAGAGACTCACACCTTCTAGTACAAAATTCTTCTCTTGAATCAACTACAGTCAGCTTCGAAACTGAATGTGGCAGCTCAGAGAGGGCACTAATAGCTTTGAGCATGGGCAAAAAGATGCACCCACCCTGTCTGCAGAGACCAAATGCCATGACAGTGCCTCACATACATCTGGGCATCAAGACTCAACTCCATACACCCCAAGTGCACAATGTCTTCCCATCATACATCTCCTTTCTCCAAATGCCCAGAAACTGCACCCTCCCCCCAATCTCATTTGGCCAGAATTGCAGCACTTTGTAGACCTACATCACTCATTTGCAAGGGGACTGGAATGACCGTGGTGGTAAGTTTATGTGTCCAGGCCCTTTTCCATGTGACTGCAGTGACTTCCCTGTAGGCTGCCATAAGTATCCACTCGGGGGTTAAGAACGTGAGCTGCTTTAGTCAACAGAATGTGAGTGATGATGTATGTCACATGCAAGCAGAAGTTTTTAAATGTCCTTTGATTCCCTCACCTCAACATTCCCAACCTATGCTTTAAATGTTTGCTTTCTGCCAAAAGAACAGCTGCTTCTTCAGCTTTGGTCCCCCAAACGAGAAGACACTGAAAACTGAATAAAGCCCGGCAAAGCTGCAGTTGACCATTTGTACACATGCAGTGTGAGCAAGAAATAAATGTATTTTAATCATTGTGCTTTTAGAGTTGTTTGTTGCCACAGCAAAAATTAACAATAATAACAACACGAGGAACCATAATCTTATGGTTCATGAAGTACTATGCTACATGATAACTGAATAAATGTGGACTCTTCTGATGAGGACATGAAAGTGTGAGGAATGACTACTGTGTAGTGAACAAAGGGTTTTTGCCATGGTGCAATTACAGTGTACTTTGATTACTCATGGTAAACTTTCTACTCTGCTCACTTTTTAACAATGAAAATATGCTTTTCAAAAGAGAAGTCTTTCAAAAGAGAACTTTAGAATTAAGAGACCTGGTATGGTTTGGGCTCTGTGTTCTGCCACTTTAAAACATGGAAGCAAAGAAATAATACTCCTCTAAAGCCCTACACCAAAAATTTAACAGGTAAATAAGTGAGCTCTGGGCCAAAACAAGGAAGAAAAAGATGGAATCTGGTACAGAGAAGTTTATGAATGAAGGTAGGTTAAGAGCATTTAAGTCTGGTGATTTCTATTTTTTTTCTAGTAATCCAATGTGACCTAATGTGTTACAAGAATACAATGAGAATAAAAAAGTTAGAATGACAACTTAAGGAGAACAGTAAATGTCTGAAGCAAATAGATACAGGAAAAAAGCAAAATGAAGGATTAAAAGCAAGTAAAAGGAATAGTGATGTTCAAATTGGGCTCATTTGTTAGCCTGGGAAAACAAATAAAGATGAGCAATTGCTGGGCTAATTTAGGCTGCAGGCTTGTGCAGCAAGGATAGGGGAAGATAGTTGCAAGGTAGTAAGTTTAAAGAATTTGAAAGAATGACTTCCCAAGTAATGACGAGGTTTGGATGGAAATGTACTGCTGAGATTCCACGAAAGGAGATTCAAGGTGTTCAATTAGCTTTTCTTTTCAGTAAAATGTTAAATGCCTGAGGTTAAAATCATGCTTTAATTTTGCCCCATGCTATCTGCAATAAAGCAGACCAGGAGCTGGTGTTGAGTGGGAGTGCATATGGTTGTTGACGTCATCCAGTTTGAAAGTTTATAGATAAGAGTTTTAAGGATGGGAAGGGAGTGTTAAAACCAGCTGCTGTGGGCTTCAAAAGAGGAGTTGTTTAGGAAGTCATAAAGAAAAATAGTCTGAAATCATCAGTGGGAAAAAGGAATAATGACTACCAATTTCTCTATTCTAAGATACTGGGAGGTATGTGGGAGGTGGGCAGGGAGTGGCACATGGGAAGAAGAATGAGCTGTCTTTATTTGTGGCAGACTATAAGGAAAGTAATGTTCTTAGGGAGAAACTAGGTGAAGAAAATGAGACAATGGCTGGATAACTTGATCAAATTTCTTAGTTAATAGCAAGCACAGGGAGAGAACTCAGAACACCTGATGCTGAGTCTATTGTCTGACCCTTTCTCAATACTAGAACTTACCAAGCAACTGTTTGATCTGTTATTGTTTCAATCACAGTATAGAGAGCAAAAACAATCCAGTACATCATCCATCGAACCTAGGAAGAACAAAAATACTTATGAAAAAAGACTAAAATTACTTGCAACTCTGAATGATTACATATATATGAAATATATATATAATATCTACTTCTAGACATATAGTATGTTGCAAATGTTGAAAGTGATGGTTTAATTCTCAAAAGGTTCTATATCTGAGCTCTCACATTACTATATTACCAGTCTTGGGATATAAGAATCAAAGAATAACAAATCTCTGGACCTGAGGCAATATAAACATAGAAATCTAAATGAAAGAATTGGAAAAAAAAGGATACATTTTCCTAAACTGGAAAAGATCTTACTATTATTGACATGCTTTTTAATGAAAACTATTAGCTGTATAATTATTTTTTATTTATTTTTATTTATTTATTTAAAAAATATTTATTTATTTATTTATACAAGCACTGGGTACAGTCAGAAGCGTGGGAGGGTGAGAGAATTCACCAGAGCCAGAGCGGGGAGCAGAGCAGGCAGAAGGACCGAAGTACGCTGCTGAGGGGAGCAGCGGGTGGCAGGAGAGGTCTGCGCGCCATGTGGGACCCTCCTCTGGTGGCTGGGGAGCAGCCGGGGATAGAACCGGCTCTGCAGAGGCTGCAGGCAGCTTCGCAACCCAGCACTCAACCGCTGCGCCACCCGGGAGGCCCTATATAATTATTTTTAAAAAAGATTTATTTATTTATTTATTTATTTATTTATTTATTTATTTATTTATTTATTTATAGAAGAACCAGGGCACAGGCCACATGTGCTGGAAGGTGAGAGGATTCACCAGAGACAGAGGGGGGAACAGAACAGGCAGACTGACGAAATACAACACTGAGGGGAGCAGCGGGCACGACAGGAGAGGTCTGCCATGCCATGTGGGACCCTCGCTGGTCAGCTGGGATTGAATCGGCGCTGCAGCGGCTGCGGACAGCTTCACAGCGTGGCGCTCAACCACCTGTGCCACCAGGGGAGGTCCGGCTATATAATTATTAATGAGATATATATAATGATATAACATATGGCCACATTAACTATGCCTGTGCCACCAGGGGAGGCCCGGCTATACAATTATTAATGAGATATATTTAATGATATAACATATGGCCACATTAACCATTAAATTTTGCATTCCTTATTTCTCAATACACAGCAACTTCACAAACCAAAGAACAATCCTGAACAATCACTGATATATCCATGATACCAGTCACCTGGTTTGAAAGTCTAGGTTAATGTTTTCTTCTTGCTCCCCTAAATATAAACCTGTAACCTCTCACACATCTGCCTTTTTCTACTCCAATACCACATGGTAGTTGCAACAGACCGAATGTTTATGTTACTTTCAATTTATATGTTGAAATCCAACCCCAAATGTGTATCAGGAGCCTTCATGAAGTGGTCAGCTCATAAGGATTAATGTCTTAAAAGTACTTTTTCTCCCTTCCCACCAAGTGAGGACACAGAAGATGGTCATCTATGAACCTGGAAGTGAGTCCTCACCAGACACTGAATCTTCCCATACCTTGTTCTTGGGCTTCCAGTCTCTACAACCATGAGAGATAAGTTTCTCTTGTGTATAAATCACACAAAAGAAAGTATTTTTGTTAGAGTTGCCCAAATGGATTAAGACAGAAGTTCAGGACATTTTTACCACCTGCAAGGAAAAGGGCATCCAAATAGATCCCTAAGACTCTGATATCCTTTGTACCAATCCTTGTTATAGAACTCGACCATGTTAATTTTCCTAGAACGCATCCCCCTCCCCCAATTTATACCTTTCTACCTACCTGAGTACATAGACTCTGTTATTTCTCAAGTAGGTTGGATTTTTGCTCTTTTGTTCAATATTATAATGGCTAATGCACAAAACCACGACAACCACTGGCTAGTGACTACTAAGCTCATCACATTTATTTATTTATTTATTTGTTTGTTTATTTATTTATTTATTTGGAAGTAAACATAATTCTCAAGATTTTATTATCTCATAATAGAAGATGAAGCTTAGAACTGGATCACCTGGCCCTTTCTCTTATCTACTCCCAGTTCTAAAATCTCTTAATAGCCAACATTCTTTTAGATCTGCAGTAGGGCTCAACACATTCAAGTCTCAGCACAATCTTTGTAGTTTCAGCCTTTTACAGAAAATTGGCTTAGTCTGTCCACCATAGTCCACCATAGCCACTCTGCTTCCTGTCATACCACTGCTTTCCCTGGGCATAGAGAGAATCCTTGCCCTTCTTGTACTGTGTCACTTTGTGGGGCTGATGCTTGCCACACTTCTTACAGAAGGTCTGGCGGGTTTTAGGAATGTTCACCATGCTTGCGAGAGCTCTGTCGGCATGGAGTCATCACATTTATTAATCCACATACTTCTCACAACTTTACGAGGTAGAAAACATGCATTATTTCCAGTGTAAATAAGGAAATGGTGGCACAGAGAAGTAAAATGACTTGATCAAGGTCATTTAACCAGAATTTGAATTCAGGATGCACAGCTTTGAAATTAGTGCTATTAACCAATTATATCACCGAGAGTAAGAAAATATGAGATGATGAAAAAATTATGTCTTTATAAGTAATTATAAAACTGGTCTAAATATTTAGTTTTAATACAGATGCTTGTTTGGGTATTCCCTAGACAAAATAAAACTATAACCCAAGTAGTTTTTAAAGTTTTCCCTTTACATGGACAAATAAATTAAAATTAGTCATAAAAAACTTGAAGCAGTGTATTTTAAAATATGAACAATACCAATTCATTCTGATTTACAGAGACTCCCAAAAGCTTAAAAAAGTTGTTGAAAGTAAATGACAGCATTCTTTACCTATATCTGAAATACGAGGAAATTGATTAAAAGATTATATTACCTCATGAAAGGAAAAAAGTTAGATCAGATGCTCTTTCTCGCTTTTTACTTTCATGAATTCTCTTAAATCCTTCACTTCTGTCAATTTCAAGCTTTTGTCCCAATATGGGGATTTTCTTCCAGGGCTAAGATCCTATGTGTTTTCTCCCTGTTCCTTCCTTTCCACAGCAACATAATGCTCTCATATGAGTTCATTCACTTAGTATTTTCAAATCTAAAGTACTAATTCAGTACTTTTACCATTACACTATGTTTGGAAGGTTATCCTTTGCAAAAAAATGAAGAAAAAAGACTGCAACAGAACAATTCACTTTTCTAGAGCTAAATGGGGTCTCAGAAGCTTTTTTGAATTATATATCTTTACTGAAAGAAAAAAAAAAAACAAAAAACAACAACTGTAAAACTATAACAAGAGAAAACTGCTCTGATTGTTTCTCCCATTCTACCCACAGAAGGACTCTTGAGGAGACTTCAAGAAACCTCAGTGCTCCATGCGGCAGAGATTTAAAAAACCAAAAACAAAACCAAGTCTGATAAACTCTTATTTTATTGAAGGCCAAAGTAAATAAGTTTGGAAGGTTGCTGAGCTGGTGGGGGATGGCTGAAGGAGGCACAGTCCACTTTGAAGCATAAATAAGGCAGCTTTTCAAACAAAGGATGTCATCAGACCAGTCTTTTCAGTTCTCCAGGATTTCCTGGTTCTCTCCTTCTCCACTACTCAGCACAGAGATTTCAGTGAAAACATAATCTTTTTTCCCCAGGGAAGTGGATGCTTAAATTACATTGTCTCTCTCATAGAGAGTTTAGGAAATATTCAGAAAAATAAGATTTAAGCCAAAGCTCTTTATTTTTCATTATTTCACTATTTTATAACCTGTTTATGATTGTGATCTTTCACATGGATAACTAAATATTCCACAAATAGTTTCAATGTACCTGTCAATAGTCAGGTGGAGGTGGAAAGGACTGTACAAATAGTAACTACACAATGATACTCCCAAAATGACCAGTTCACAAGTGAATCAGAGCTGCTGCATGTCCCACAGATTTCAAACACACCTTTGCCTTGGTAAAATCAGGTAATTACTCAGTTTTCAAACGACACTATCACATTAGTTTAAAAAAGCACAATAAATAAGTGCTTTAAAATGTATAATGTCTATTTCTAAAAAATAAAGCATTTATCTAGGTAGTTAGAATATCCAATAAAGTCAAATATAAAAAAGGAAAAAAAGAAGGTGTTCCATGCCTTTTTTTGTTCAAGAACAACAAACTATCCAATCTTCTGGACATATTCCTTGGGTATAATTTTATATAAGCAAAATTTATGCATGTTTTCAATGAATAAATTCTTAACAATCTGTTCTCCTAAACTTATGGATTTTTTTTTTTGTACTCTAATAAGGAGAAATATGACCTTGGGCCTCCCCTGGTGGCACAGTGGTTGAGCGCTGGGCTGCGCCCGCAGCCTCTGCAGCACGGATTTGATCCCTGGCCACTGGCAAGGGTCCCACATGGCGCGCAGACCTCTCCTGCCGCCCGCTGCTCCCCTCCGAACTCTGCTTGTTCTGTTCCCCGCTCTGGCTCTGGTGAATTCTTTCACCCTCCGGCGCTTCTGTATGTACCCAGTGCTTGTATAAATAAATAAATAAATCTTAAAAAAACAAAAGAAATATGACCTGAAATATTATTGAATCCGGGCAATAACTAAACAAATTCAGTGAGTGTGTGTTCTTCATGGGAGCAACCATAAAGAAAGACAACCTTGAAAAGATATTGCTTTCTTTTTTCTGGTAATGGATTTAGTTGGGCTTTTATACCAAATGATTGCTCAGCAAAGCTTTTATTGAAACTACACCTCAGAGCTGCTGGGTCTACTGTTTAAGGCTTTACCCAAAGGAAATAGAGATCAAGGTTAAAAAAAAAAAAGAAAAGAACAGGTCACAAATTATAAACGTGTGAAGATAAAGTATTCTTTTTCATTTGATAAAATATTCTTTATAGAAGAAACAAGAAAACATTAATAACAAAATACACCACTAAAATCCAGAGATCAGAAGACAACATTCACATTGATATTCTAATGAATGTATTTAACCAAATATAATAGAAATAATTGCTATTAATGTTACATAAAT